GTTGGGTTTATGTGGATCACAAACTCCAACTTTAATCGTTACTGATAGAAACTGGGAAGGTCTCGGATAGTTTCTCCTGTTTATTCCAACTTGAATTGTTGATTTAACCAAAGTTATTTTATTAACAGAATGAAATAGCATCACATTTTTACTCCTTTTTTAATGGAAATCAAAATACAGATTTACTTAAGCTTTCTTGTCTTGTTGAGATTCAGACAAAGTTAATTATTTTTTAATTTTTAACATCCAAATGCAAAAAAATAATGACTGTGCAACGGAGTATTGGGGCCTAATAGGAAAATAAAATAATAACGAACATAAAGTCAATGTTTCGAGAATAAAGTCCAAATAATATCTGAATAAAATTGTGGCATTACAATTTTATTCTCGTAATATTACAACTTTATTCTTGTATTATTATGGTTTTATTCTCATATTAGTTTATTCTCATAATATTATTACTTTATTCTTGCGGTCTTAAATCTTTATTCTTGTATTTTAATTTTTTTTCTTAGTGTGGCCCTAGCACTCTGCCGATGTAAATCATCCAAAGAAATTAAATAATAGTTGATGATTAACATCAAAATTCCCTCTCATGTTTTAGTAAGACATGAATCTTGTGCTGAGGGTTTCAGCTCCTGATCTGTGATGAAGAGTCGGTGCAGGATGAAGATGAGGAGGAAGGAACGACTCCTCAGATTTACGCCGACGGGAAGTGATGCGAGTTTCCTTGGCTGGTGATTTATAACTTCTTCCAGAGCGGCAGAGTCCAGAGTCACGATGCGGCGTAACGCTTCTTCTGGATGATTTGCTGTTTCCACAAACTGACAGGCTAATTCGGCTGAAACAGGGGCGCATCTAAAACATTCAGGGCCCCCGAGTCGAGTCAGACACCTTCGCTTCCAGAACATATTTTTAGTTCATTGAATATTGTTTTTTTTTTTTTTTGGTGTGTTTGCGTGCGGCGCTCCCTGAGTTGTGCGTTTTTTTTGTTTTTGTTTTTTTTTGTGTTTGCGTGCGGCACTCCCTGAGTTGTGCATTTTTTTTTGTTTTTGTTTTTTTTTGTGTGTGTTTGCGTGCGGCGCTCCCTGAGTTGTGCGTTTTTTTTGTTTTTGTTTTTTTTGTGTGTGTGTGTTTGCGTGCGGCGCTCCCTGAGTTGTGCGTTTCCTCAGAGTTTGGCTTCGTTTCTCAGCGCGCTCCCATCTAAACAGCCGCCTGCTGTGGAGATGGGAGGGATGTTCTCACCGTGTGAGAATCATATGAAGCAGCTTAGAGGTCAGAGCTGCTGTTTTTCTGCTTCTGCGAAGGAACCCCAGCCTTCCTAGAAACAATGCTGAAAAACTTTCCTCTAACAAAATGAGCAGAATTTGAACTTTATTCGTGTGGTAATTAATTTGCAATGCTGTTGTTGTTTTAAGATCATTTTAAAGTAATATATTGATAATGTTGAGACCAATAAACTTGAATTTTCTAAAGAACACATAATGTTTGAACTAGAAAAAATAAAACAATAAATTCAACAGAAATAAAAAAAAACACAACCTGGAATATTAAGTAAAATTTGAGCTCATTTTAATTAAATTAATTGATCTCTGCAGAAAGTCCTTTGTGGTTTTCTTGCTTGTTTCTGTTGACAGCCTGATGACGGGAATATTGTCTTGTCTTAATCTCCCCTCGGTGTCGTCGTGGTGATTGCATCTGAACTTCCATCTCAGTTAGCAAAAAGTGAGTTAAAACGCTGTAAAACTGCTGCTGAATAATATGTTAGAGTCAAACCAGTTGAACTCAGAGTGAATAAAGATTTTCTTGTTCATTAAATACCAAACTCTACAACAAAGAATCGTGTCAGGAAGTGGCTGCAGGCTGCTGATAGGAGGGTGTGTTCTTAAAAATAGGCCCTGCTTGGGTTCAAAGGTCAGTGCCGACTGGTCTATAAACACAGAGCTGTCTGCAGCGGTGAAGAAGCTCCTGTGTTCCTGCAGCTGAGATCTGCTGTTGGTCGGAGTGAGTTTCACTCATTCCTGGGGTTCAGGTAGGTCCGTCCCATTTTATTTTAATCACAATTAGGTTTGTTTTTACTAAAGTTTGTATTTTTAAATATTTGAACCAGATCAAATCTTTTGAAGCTGACCATGTGAGAATAATCAGAAAATCTCTGTATTTAATGTGAACATTGTTTTAAAGAAGTCAAACTGTGGAGAGGAAGGAAGTCCTTGATGATCTGATCAGCTTTGATTTAATTGGGTCAATGATCAGTCAACAGGGCGGCCGTTTCCACGGCAACGGGCCGTTTCCTGCCCTGTTGATGGGAATGAAACACTTATGTATATTCCTGGCTGATGTTAGTTGTTCTTCTGCACTGAGTGAATTTTACAGCAACACCAGAAAGTATTCACACCACATATTTACGTTATAGACTTTTATTAGACCAATTTGAGCACATATGTGGAAAATGGCACAATGTGAAAACACACTTTAGGACATGAAAAACTATTTAAAAACATAAGTAATGTATATAAATATTCACATCCAGGTCTATCACAATAACAAACTTTGCTGAATGATAAATTGTCCCAGATATTGTTTTTCTGAGAATATTATCAAGTTGTTTAATAGTGTGATAATGTAAGTACACCCTCTTAAAAATCAATAAACTTTTAATTCTACTGAACATTTAACACTGTAACTGGAGGACAATTTACATTTCCAAAATAAATGAACAAAACAGAAACGACAACAAAAATCAATCATTTAGTCTCTGAAAATGAAATGTAATTCAAAAATCGACCAAAGCAGCAAACTGAACACTTTTATCGTCCAGTTTTTGGTAGAAAAGAGAAAAACAATAAATCAGGCAAGTGGAAATGATTGAACTTGATTTCATTTATTTTGCAATTAATTAGTTTTTTATTGCGACAATCATAACCACAGGTCTGGTATGGCCAGTTTTTTTCCCTTGTGGGAAAAAAATGTTTATCAGGCAAAAGTTTAAGTTGCATTCAGACTTCTTCACTGCGTTCTGTAACTTTAGACGGTTGAGGCTACCGCTAACTCAATGCTAACATACCTTTTCTAGCTAGCTGGCTTTTTTTGCGTCTGTCATGGTTAAGTAGAAATTTATCGCCAGTTGGATGAAGGTGATGTTTTTCTGTGGAGATGCAGGTCTTAGAAAGTTTTACATTTATATTTTCAGATTTCATGTTTTTCTAAGACAAACACACAGATGGCTGCTGGTGAAGTGCCCTATCCGCCCTACTGCTAGGCTTGGTACAACATTGTTGCATATGATGAAGGGTTGTGATGTTGTTGCTCGTGTTTGGTTTCTGTATGTTTGTCCAGATTCAGATTTATTTATTTGTTTGTGTAGAGTGAGAAATCGATGCTGCTAAATATTGATGGTCTAGATGGCGTTGAAACTTGACAGTGAGATGAGGATGAAACGCCTTCCTCTTTGTTTTCAACAGTCCTGAGGCACGAGAGCTCCGCGATAAACTTAGTTACCAAGCTGACGGCTAAAAGTGTGTGTGCGTGTGTGTGTGTGTGTGTGTGTGTGCTGCCTCACCTCGTCTTCATCTGACCTCCCTTTATTTCCCTCTCTCCACGCTGCAGCCACCCACGGGCCTCGGCAGAGACCTTATGAGGATCATTTGACTGGAATCATATCGCTGCTTCAGGCTTTTTAAAGTGGGAGAAAACAAGCAATTTACTTCTCAATCCTCTGGAGTTTGTTGGGTTGCAGAACGTTGAGTCTGTTATTCCAACATGAGAGGTGCTGCAGCTTTGAAAGTACTGTTTGTCTACAAGCTTGTTATCTTAATTCTCCTGCTGGATCCATTAAATTTTGCTTTGGAGACTCGTCATCCTGCAGAGCGTCGGTGGTTAAGTGCAGCACTGGATCAGTGTGTCACTGCATTAGTGTGTCAGTGTTTCACTCTGTCAGGGAGGCGGTTTATTACTGAGTTAGCGTGTCAGCGATTCATTGAGTAGCTACATCAGTGAGTAATAGTTTGGTGAGTCAGCCATGTTTGCTCTGCTTTACTCCAACTCCAGTTTGTTTGTCTAGTACGTCCGGTGTGAACTCGTAATCGGACCAAGTAAGTGAACTCTTGTCCGTCTATAAACCATGGCGTATGTTTGGTTGAAGTGAACTCTGGTGCGGTTTGAATGAGTGTGTGAACGCTCCAAAAGCAGAAAGCTGTGATGGCATGTTGGGGCCATTGTAGATAGAAAAACAAAGAATGAGTAGAAAATTTCTGACAAAAAACTCAGAAATTTTCCAGAAAAAAAAAAATTCTGAGCTCCAAAAGCTGGAAATTTGCTAGGAAAAGAACTCAGACATTTTGAGATTAATTTTGGAAATTTGAATTTGAAAAGTCAAAAGAATTTTGCTAGAATAAACAGAAATTTGTAAGCTCAGACATTTTGTAGAAAAGCTGGGAAATTTGGAGTTTATTTCAAAAGTTGAAAATGTTTTACTTTTAAAACCCTGAACATTTCTCTCTTTTTTTTCTTGAAAATTTCTCAGATTAATATGAAAAAATTCTGAGTTTTTTGGTGGAAGTTTTTTCCCCATCTACAATGGTGCTAATACACCGTTGTAGAAAGCGGACTATGGCTCAAGGCATTCTGGGTAAATACAACCAAAAATGCTCATGTCGAGCGCTAGCTCGAGACATGGCTCGCGATTTTGAAAGAGAACCAAGCAGCTGAAAATGTAACAAATGTTGCAACTTTGGTCCCAAATTGAACCGAGTCTACCGGACGATGTGACACAGTGAGACTCACCGGATCAGTTTCCAGTGCTCCAGTGAGTCTGTAGCTCCGTAGTTCATTGTTTTGGTGTGAACCGTTACATCATCGTGTCTGTCCCTGCATAAGCTTTTCAGTGAGTTAGTGTTTTAGGTTATTGGTGTTTTAGTGAATTATTGCCTCTGAATTTAACTTCAGTTTTGCCTCGTTAAGTGCTACTGTGGGTATTAAGTGACTGTTTTTTGTTGCAGGGGACCAATAACGAGGACACAATGCGAGTGCACGTACACACCAAATTCTGCTTCCTGTGCGTTCTCACCTTCATCTTCCATCACTGCAACCATTGCCATGCGGATGGACATGACCACCCAGCCGTCAATCATCAGCACATCGACCTGCAGATCTCTGAGGCTCCGTATGTCCGAGCCACCACCGAGTCCAACGCTCAAGAAGGGGGACCTCTAGAGGAAGAGCAGCGTTTCTACATCCAGCAGCTGTTCAGGCGCTACGGACAGAAAGACCGGTTAGACTTCCATGGCTTCCAGAGTCTCCTGATGAGTCTGGGTTTAGGGAAAGTGAAGTTGGTAAGCGTGGATCATGAGGATCTGGGTCATGACCATGTAGCCCACCTTGACCTGTTGGACGTTCAGGAAGGGCTTCACTCACACTCATCCTCTAGCGACGACCACAATCATGATCATCACACTCATGACCATCACGACCACAATCATGATCATCACGACCACAATCATGGTCATCACAGTCATGACCATCACGATCACAGTCATGACCATCATGACCACAAGCCCCGTCCTCCACGAACAGAACAGGTTCCCACACGATGCAGCCACACCACTGCTTCCAGTCCGCCTACTGGTGAGCCGAGTGGGAACCAGGAACATTCTGATCATGATGCACATGATGAGGACCACCCACAGCAGCAAACAGAGGTACAGAGCAGCCGCAAACATCTAACCTCTGTGCATCAGGGCCACAGAAACCACAGCCATGACCGACACAATCACACCGATGGACAGCTGGAGCCAGCAGTCGGTCCGACGCAGAGTCCAGCCAGGAGGACCAGGAGGCCGGGAAAGGTCAGAGGCCAGCGGAGGCCCAACAAGTTACCCACACCTGAAACGCCCCAACCTGGGGGTCATGACCACGAACACGGTCATGACCACGAACACGGTCATGATGGGGGTCATGACCACGAACACGGTCATGATGGGGGTCATGACCACGAACACGGTCATGATGGGGGTCATGACCATGAACACGGTCATAAAGACAAGAGAGAGGCTCCAGGTGTGGCTGCTGTGGTTGCAGCTTCACCAGTGCTTATAAAGCATCCAAGTGGAATGACGCACCAGCATGAGGAGGTAGGACCTCACCCTGATTGATTAATTGATCATTAATTATTCAGAAATCATTTTGGATGCTCCTGCTTTTGTCTTTCTATTCCCTAAAACTTTAGCTGATGTGATTCTGGTATTTAGGGCTGAAACGATTAATCAGATTAATCATCACCAATCGTGATTGGTTGATTATTAAAATAATCAAATTATTGAAATATTATTGAAAATAATAAAATTAATTGACAATTGTCAACTAATTTAATCAAATTAATCGTAATTAATCAAATATTATGATTAATTTGATTAATTGTGATTAATCATGACTGATCATAATTGATTGATGATTAAGAAAATCAAGTCATGATTAATCAAATAAATTGTGATAACTTATTGAAATAATCAACTCATTTAGTTAATTGTTAACTGGAGTATTAAATCGATTACTAAAAGTAGTTGATTATTTCAATAATTGATTAATCACGATTGACCATGTTTGGTCGAATTGATCAATTAATTGTTAACTGGAGTATTAATTGATTACTCAATTAGTTGGTAATTTGTTATGTATATTATTATGTTTTCTTTCATGATTCATTTCCTTACCGATGATGTCACTCACCATTACCAAATCATTTTAATGATCCATAATTCATTAGTACAGTATAATATGTATCTATGCTTTTCAGTTATGAATAAAACTATATTTAGTATTTCTGTTAAGTGTATTTTGCAAGATAAACGATGAATGCTTCACCTGGTTCAGATTCTGTTAAAAATAATCTATAATCGATTTATTTAGATTACTAAAGTAGTCGTTAGTTTTCTTACATTTGAACTCTTTCCACCGCTCAGTGTTTGAACCTGACTCAGCTCCTCACCTACTACGGCCTACATCCCAACTCGGTCATCTCCCCCAGCGAGTTCACCTACCTGTGCCCCGCCCTGCTCTACCAGATAGACACCCGCGTCTGCATCCGCCATTACCATCAGATGGAGGTGGAGCAGGAAGCCCTGCAGCCCATCAGTTCTGGTAAGGAGCCGAACATCGACCCGGTGGAGGCAATAAGTCTGAGGAGAACAGTAAAGGAGCTCTGCTTAATGCTGATCCGCTGTGCAAAACAATAATCAGGTATAAAATTAAACTTGAAAAATCCAGAAGAAATTCTTATGGATTATTAGTTGGTGATTTAGGCCTGAAATCAGTTCACATTTAAAGGGAATTTATTGTGCAAAATTCACACTTTGTTTCTCCATTTGGATCTGCTGCTTCTAAAACAGCCAAGCGTTTAAAAAAATACTTGTGCTATCCTGACTACTATGTAAATGCTGTCATCCTATAAAATGCTGCTGTCAACTGCAAAAAATATTAGCTATAAAAATAAACACTAATAATACCATGTCGGCTTACTGCTAATATTTTCTAACCTGCTGAGATATGTTATCATTTTCTAAAATGCTAATATGCGAGTGTTAGTTGGTGTCAGTAGCAAAGCTATGCTAATGTTAGTTGGTATACCAGCTGGAAAAACACTAATACTAATAGCATAGCAACTCATTGTGTCCAACACTGCAGCTTATATACAGTTAGCTACAAGGCTAATGTTTTCCAACCTGCTGAACTATGCTATTATTAGCCTATAATCTAAAATTAGCTACATTTAGCATATTAGCTTTCGTTGGCATTGAATGCTCTAATAAAATTCACCGTGTTTGCACATGTTAAAGGTCCAGTGCTTGTAGTTTCTCCTTTATTAAAAGGTTTAGCTGTAATGTCAGATTCTGTGTTTACATTGTGGCAGAAGGAGCAGATATAAGGAAAGTGACTCGGAGTGGTGACCTTCTCTGGGGCTACGTTTATTAGCCTTTAAAGCAGGAGAGCACAGCGTGGAACAGTTAATGAGTAACAAGTTCCAGAAATAAAACCCATAAAACCATAAACATTTTATACCGATAAGACCAGAACCAGTAATCGCTTAGCCTGATTAAGCAATATATTAAGAACGTACACAGCCCAGTTGTGTTAAATGAAATGTTTCTCTGTATTATCCTGGAAGTTGTGACGCCGTTACTGTAAACATAGAGCAGCCTGGTGATTGGAGGGGTCATAAAATGTCCACTCAGCCTAATTTAATGAGAATTAGTGCTTTGAAAGACCGCTTCCTAGATTTCAGCTGCAATAATTTGAACTTTAAAGATGTTTTTTTTTTTTTCCCTTCCTGGACGGAATAAAGTTCAGTTATTAAACACGGAGGAACCTGCATCACATGAGCCCCACGCTGCCGCTCACAATAGTCATAAAAATGGAAATGATGACGGTAAAACAAGTCAAAAGGGCAGCGATGGCTCCTCATTAGAGGGAAACTAGAGACGCTAGACATCAGGAAGTGCTGCAGCGCTGCCTCTCATCTACCTCCTGCTGGCCTTCATGGGGAGCTTCCCCCCCGTCGCCGCCGCCACAGCTCACACCCTCTCTTCGCAGAGCCAATTAGGACTCCGTCAGCCATTTCTCTGTGTAATTGGAGAGAAGTCTCCGTCTTCTCTCCTTTGTTGCTGCGCCGCAGCGCCACACCTGCATTAAGGTAACGAGCTGCGTGAGCGTGAGGGAGTGGCGGCGGCGGTGGACCGCCCGGCTGATGTACAGCCGCCGCTCAGGGCGGCGAAGCTCCAGCAGCGACAAATGGGAACGCAGCGAGCTGTGAAACCGTTTCCCTGTACAGCGCGAGAAAACAGGAAAACATGAGAAGGTTATCTGTGATGTTTGTCCTCCATAATGATCCGTCTGCACGATATTTACATCCTGAAAACTGCAGCTCAGACTGAC